TAGCCCTGGCTCACAGATTGGAGAGTCAAGAAGGGTGATACTAAGCAAATATGTACCTGTTGGACTTGGGAGAAAGAAGGACGTGGCTAATAAGCTGCTGTGTGCTCAAATTTCTGACACCTGTAAGCACTGAGCTGAGAAGCTGCAAATTCAAGGGCTTGGAGTACGCTCTAGATGTTTTCAGGTTGGACACCCAAAAGTGGCTACCTAAGAAGATCTGGGTCAATGCTTCAGGGAATGCACAGACAAGGACCACCGAGATGTCCAACCTGGCAGAACTAGGAACAGTAAGAAAACTAGGGTTCGACCCAAAACAACGTGCGTCAAACTGAGGGTGGGGAACTCAAGGAACTCCCCAGAGTGACTTACTGCCCACCTAGAGAAAAAGCTCAAGGTACCAAGTACAACTCTGAATCGACCCTGTAGGCACAGATTACTTGACCTAATAGGTATATTTGACCTAAGGTATAACCAAACGTGTTGTTTGCAAATTCTTATTCTTTGAGTTCATCAAAGTCACAGATTTCTGTTCCTAACACAAGCTCAAATACTGCCATGTTTTGAATTTTAAAATCTCATTGAAGACAAGCATGTAATTTAATAACTTTTCTGCTTAATTAAAACAGTTCTTATTTAATAACATATTAGTGTAAGTTACATTTTGCAACATGTAATATATCTTTTTGAGAATTAACCCCTTTGATGGCACAAAATGATTTCTTGTGCAAAATTAATTACATAGCGGTTTCAATAACTTAATTTTGCAGCTAGGGTGTTTTTGCAACCCTGCACCCACTTCTGCTTTCATTCACTGCTGTTCAATCCCACAAGTACTAATATATGGATAAACCAGCACTGCAATAACTTCAGCTTGCTCTTTATATCCGAAATGGCTGTATTGCTTTAGGCAATGGACCACTGCATCCCATTTAGACTTCATATATTTTTATTCCTTTCTCTCCTTAGCTTGCCTTACGCTTCCACTCACAAATAATTAGCACGGTGTAACATGGTTGTGGTATAGAATAACATCTGAAAGCTTCCGATTAATTGCTACAGTTAAAACACCTTTCTTTTTTTCCTCCTTTCTCTCTTGTTTTATTTCTTTCTTTCTTTTTAAAAGCTCTGGCATTCACTACTTACTGATAAGCAACATTTATCTACCCTGAAGTACCTTTGCTTATTCTGTTTTGGGTGGGTTTTTTTAATTGCATTTTCCCACTAGCTCTGAACTTGTTTTCTGGCTGCATATTTTTCCCATGGTACATTTAAGATGCATCTGCTATAATTAATATGATGCAAAGTGCAAGCTTATATGAAAAACAGCTTGTAAATTTTGAATAATTCTGCAGCAATTACATAGGTAGAATGGCTTATTCAACTATGGGCTTTGTCCCATGGCATGAGAACCACCATGTTTTTATAGCATTTAAGGGTCATAATAAATATCCTACTAATTCAAACAATAGATAGATATTTAACATAGATCTCATCTATGTTAAACATATCTCATAATTTAACAAAATATCTATGAGACTGTAACAATTTTCCATAACAGAGACCAAATGAACTTCTTAGCTGATAAAAACAGTGATTTGTTTCCAAGTCTTAAAATCTCTCTCCAAAGGATGGTTCTCATTTTTCCTGGTAACCTGTCTCAAAGGGCAACAAATGCTGCAGGTCTGCAAGGTCATCACTTGCCAGGAGGATGCATCAGCAAGGTCCAGCTCACAGGTCATTATGGTCCTGCAGTCCTGTTCCCATGCTAGCTGGGGCACTAACAGAAGCTGGAGGAGTCCCTGCGGCTGTGGGTCCATTGTTCTTCCCAGGAGCTATGCATCTTCTCTACGTTTACAGCAGGCTCTTGGCCTTGAGCACCATTAATTACCCCACTGAAATACATGTGTGAATAAGAAACTCTGGGCCCAACTAACTTTAACAGGCAGAAAGTATCTTCAAATTCAAATCTCCTCCCCTTAATTAGGTATTGTCCTATTAAGACTGGAATTGATCCCAGCAACTTCTACTCTTGAAGTGCACCAATAAATCCCTGCCACCGTGGTCAGCCAATGTCATTTTCTGCCCCTTCAGACAAAGTCATATTGCTGTTTCATGCTGGAGAGCCAGAGAGCCATCAATCACCTCCTCAGCAGCGCTACCTTCCAGCTCTGCCTTGCCACATATGCTGCTAATAATTAAATCCCAGCCTGTAACTTGCAGAGCAGCCACTGAGGTCTCCTCCAGAGAACACACTCTTTTGCCATGCTACCAGGGAGGGAGATCATTCATGACCAGAAATGACACTTTGTTAATCTGATGCTGGCTTTTGATTAAGAAGCAGGACTCTGATCTGATGTCTGCCCCCCATGATGCATGGTGTTCAGTCTCATTAGGTAGGGTGCTGTGGATACTCATTACACCAAAAGATGCTCCCTACGGATCCAAAAATCCAACAAACTGAAGTCAGTAAACTACAAATCTCAATTACAGAAGAAAATTGTTTCTGTTGCAAAACTCTCAGAATATTATTAATTATTGTGTGTATGACAGTTCTCTTTAGGCATCCTAGTCACTGGCGAGAACACTGCTCTAAGAGGTCCTGCACAACCACGCAACACCCTTTCTCCAAGGATCGTTCCACCTCCAAGAAGACTAAAAGGTTTCTGAGGCAAGGAATGCCTTTTTGTACAAGGCATGAGGCAACAAAATGGCTCAAAAGCATGCCTACAAGAGAAGAGTGCGAGTCAAGGGACGACAACAATCCTCATTTATTTTTAAACCTCCACCTTTCCAAATCAGCAGGTATTCTGCTGCCAAGATTTTAAAACCAACTCATTGCAACAGTGTAAGGAACATCATACAAGCCACCTCTCAGATCTGCCAAGAGCCACGTGGCCATCTCCACCAGCAGACTGGAGTGGGATGGTGCTGCCAGGAAGAACAAGGTGATGAGCAGCTGGAAGGAAGAGTTGCAGATGTTTGCAGAGTACACACCTGCCTTCGCCCTCAGACTAGGATGATTGCTAAAGCAGACATGCCAGGAAGCTGTCCGGTTGCATCAGAGTCAACGAAGTAGAGCCAATTTGGCTCTTACAGCAATGATACTTTGGCTGCAGCCAAATGATAAAACATGACCTGAAAATCTTGAGGGCACTTGTTAACACTCAAAAACTCCCACCGGCTAATAGCACACTGGCTTGGTGCTCGGGAAGCCTTCAGCTGTAGCTCTTTCCAACCTGTTGGCTGAGCATAGGCGAGCAAGGGTCTCACATTCTCTTTCTGTAAGATGAGATAACACCAGCGCTACTAGTCTAATGAGGTTTGGGTGAAATGCTGTGCAGACAAGGCGGACCTACTTTCAGTTTGGCAAGAGGCTTGTTTGGCGTTAGCCCGTATCTGCACCACGCAGTGGGGATCACTCTCATTCACATCAGTGGAGTGGAAAGCTATCTGCATTTCCCAGGTGCAACCTATGACTTCAGTGACTCAGGTATATCTGTTAACTCCAGGCAGGTGATAAGGAGCCAAACACACAAATTTCTTTTGAAAATTCAAGCAGTTGTAGGAAACTGGCAAAACCAGACTTGGACTGCAGAGTGCCATTAGCCTGTAAACATGTGCTCTGAATAGGCTGTTTCTTCAGACATCTCCCAGGATAATGCCACAGCCATTTAATGGCATGTCTCCTGGACCAGTAGTGACTCCTGCAGAGTACAATGGGTACCTCATCCTGCAGCAGCAGCAGACCTATCCTGCCCTTCTCAGCTGGATCCAGCTGTTGTGGCCAATGTGCTGCCAGACTCTCATTTCTTTATTTGCAGAGCTTTGGTCATGCATGATGGTACTTTAATATATATTTTTATTGCTGCTGTTCACATTCCTCTTCAGATTATCAAGTGAAACAAAAATATACAAAGAAGTGACACTGGAAGACTATTTGAGGAAAGGTCTTTTAAAACCATAATAGCTTTTGTGGTTATGTAGTCATGGAAGTGGCTCTGAAATGTTCTGTGTGCATGGAAGATGCTACATCCATATCTAGCTCAGAGCCATGGATTCTGCTGCAGTGCCTGGCACATGAAATGGAGATACCACAACACAGAATATCACTAGGCCAGAATCTTTTGGGCATCTAAAGATTCCTCTTCTTTCTACAGCAGTTGAGACTGTTCTCAACCAAAGACAGCCAAGACAGCTCAGGAAATGGAGGACCATCTCAACCATTCTTGCACTCTTGAATAAAATCCCAAATGTATACTTCACTCCCCAAGTGACTACTATCATGAGGAACATCTTTCAGGAGTAACTCATTTAGCTCCAGTGGGGATAGTCATGTGGGAAGCCAGAATTACACCACAGACCTAAATGAAGGCAAGGAAACTAGCTGATCATGTACTGGCCTCGGGTAGATATACAGTCTATGCAGCATGGTACAAGGAGCTTCCCTTTTACGTGTACCCCACTGTCACATAGTGAGACGCAGAGAATGTATCTTTTTCCCTTAGTTGGAAGCTGGAAAATACTTTTGGCTCCACACTTACACCTCACACATACACGCATGACAGTGTATCTGCAGCTGCTGCAAGCAGGACACACAAGTTGCACCGCATGAGGCAGGCTCTGCTGGCTTCTGTCCCACCACCCAGGGTGCTCGCTACTCCCTGATGGCACAGTGAGGACCCCATGAGCAAGGACCCAGCCAGGAGATGTTCTGCACCAGTAAGCAAAGGATGTGGCAACAGCTCATTCTGCTCACTCAGCATCCTTAGCTCAGAGCTGCCCATGCCAGGAGCTCAAGACAGGCTTTGCATTGGTGTGACTACCTCCTGTTCCATCATATAGCAGAAGAAAGATTTACATCAGATGGTTTCTACTGTTAGAGTTACTGTCACGCAGCAATTTCCCTGCTCAGCTCCATTTGCAGTAACAAAATGGTGTTACTGCAAATGGCCAGTTTTCCTGACCAGTGCATTGGCAGCCTCTGAATCTGCAACGCCTACCTTAACTTCCACGTGTGCCATCAGGACTGCAAAGTTGGTTAGGTGATTGCAGGAGCATGTGGTGTGCGTCTTGTTAGTTGTCAGGAGGCGACATCCCTGGGTGGACCAATACCCTGTCATTGTACGCTTTGTATAGCTCCAGAATGAACAGTTTGGATTGAAATTTTCTTCTGACTGCTGCAGGGAAGAAATGAATAAATGCAATAAAAATGATAGGGTTTCAGAGACTTCTAAATGCACTATATTTTTTTCCAGAGGCACTTTGTAACTCTCACCCTTTAATTTTGGATAAACAATCAGCAGTGGTTTATACATCAAGTATTACTTGCCAATACCAGAGAAAGTTAGATTGTTGCAGCTTTATTTGTTAATGCAGACTTAGTTCTTTGTTCTTGATTAATTTCAGCCACAGACTAAATCCAGCTCTTCAAAACCAGATTGCTTCATTTGCATTGCAGAGCAGAGAAATTAATTGCTTTAAGCAATCAACTTTTGCAATGACTGTGCTTGGCTAACAGGAGGACTAGCTGTCCTCTTTCACTGTAATTCCACTTTCCTCTAATATCCCCTGCCACCATGATAAAATAATATTATGGTCTATTCTAATATATTGGTAGCTTTTAATTACAGAATGACGTGTGTCAGCAACTGAGCAATGGGCATCAGCTCAAAAGAGACTCTTTACTTTTATTAATGCAACGTAAAAGAGACATTCTCCATAAATAACACAACGTGCAAAGGTACAAATGTATAATTCAAAATCTAATCAAGGACTGCTGGGGGCCTCACATCAGCCAACTTTTGCATCACTTTGTTTTAGAAATTGAAAAAAAAAAAGCAGCGCATTTTGAACTCACTCACCTTGATGTGCTTGACAGTAAACACCACAGGATCAGCTAGGTAAACCTTATTGCTGAACTCTTTGTTTATTGCTGCTGTGATGACAGGGGAGTTGACAATGACAGAGTGATTAGTCGACATTGCTTCTGTTCCCAACTTCATGCTGGCATTCTCCGTAGAGAGATAGGTGCCCAGGTTGTTGTACAGCACAAAAGCCACCCTGATTTCACCTAGAAGAGCAGTAAGAGGTTAGATATTCAGGTCAGCGCACTGGGGGTATTTTTGTTGGTTTTTTTTTTAGATGACAAATCTCTTCTCTGAACCAACTTTAAAACTTCTCTGAGAAAACGTGAAAGGACCAAGATGTGGTCATCTCACCTCCTCCTGCCAGTCCCAATGAGCACCATGAGGTGCAACAAGTGGTTCATGGACAAGAAGGGCAGAGCTGCCTCTCTCATAACAAACTTTTATAAGCAAAGAGATCGGTGGAAGACAGACAGAGAAGGTGGGCTTATTTTTGGCATCAATGGGTGCAACTGGCTCCAGAGAAAAGTGGCCAGGTGGCCCACTTCCCACCTGACATAACACTTTATTCTCCAGGTAATGCTTGGCAAACATGTTTAATTCTGGTCTGTTGCACAGATGCAGTATAAAACTATAATTTAGTCCATTAATTAATTAAGACTACCTCAGAAAAGTGTGGGGACAAATCTGGGAGAAGGAATTCAAAATTTTCCAGCACAATTCCAATCTCACATGAAGGGTAAAACAAAATTGCAGAAATTTCATTAAAAAATGCATTTATTTTCTTAATTTGCCAATCAGATATCCCCTCTTCCACAAAAAAACCCCACCATTAGGGAGGCTGCAGAAAACCCAGGCCACCAGCCAGCTGTTTTTAACTGAAACCATCCAGTTTTTCTTCTGTTTTGTACATTATTTCACAGGATAAGAACCGAATGTGATCAGCTTACCTTTATATGTATTAGTTGTGGGAAGATTTTTTTTTGTTTCTATAGGAATCACCCCAGCTTCTGAAGAAGGTGAAGCATTTATGACTCCAAAGGTCCCTCCCAACCTAAATCCTTCTACAGTAATTTTATTTCTAGCTCTTTGGTGACCTCCAGGTGGGTGCCAAGCTGGTGCTAATTGATTTGACCAGAACATACCATGCTTAGAAATACAGAATTCCTCTTCCTCACTGCCAACACAGTTTCTCTTTCCCCACAAATCTCCAAAGCTCGCTAGTGGAGTGAAACTCCTGCCCCACTGGAGTTTTACTATGCATGTAGGGTTTTTTGCTATGCATGTTGGGTTTTTTGCTATGCATGTTGGGTTTTACACTGTCTCTTACAGAAATACTTCTCTTCAAATCCTACATGCAAAGGTACCAAATGCCGTCAAGGAAGCCAATGACAAAACTTTCTTTCTGAACCACCAGACCAAACTTTTCTCTCAACAGTTGTCAGAAATTTTTGGCAGTTTTAACACATCTGGTCTGGCTACGGTACTGCCCTATCACTCTATGTTTTGCCTGCAGTGATCAAAGCCCATACTAGAGTGCTTTCCCCCTGCACGCAGGTTAAATTTTAAAGGAACTCAGAAACAGGAGCATGTTAGGCACATTAGTAGAAAGTCTGGGAGTTTGAAGTTGGTCTATAGTGGGGCTGTAAAGATCAATAAACGTCTGTGTTCAAATTCCTGGTCTGGAAATACATGGCTCGGCAGCATGAAGACCATTCACATATAACATCATCTTTAATTTATGCTATCAGGAGGTTCCTAAGCTTCAGAGAGAAAGACACTTAAGATTTAGACTCATAACAGCTAATCAACCTTTTCTGCCATGTTGGCTCATTATTAATATTTGCTACTACTGCTTCTGACCTCTCCCTTTTCAGATATTTGTATAGTGCCCCACTGTGAAAGAGTTTACTCAAACAAGCCTCTTATCCTATCTGAAGCCTCCTACTGCAGACAACAGCAGTTAAATGCAATTCTCTGCACCAGCGCTGTGCCCCAACAGCCACATCGTTTAAGGATCTGATGCATTTTTTACCAGCACGTAATACTTCTGAAGGCTGTGAGTCATTCAGCAATATAATACATTCCCAGTCAGCCAACTTAGCTTGCAGTCAAGGGCATGGGCACCTGATACTACCATTAATTTAAATATTAATGTAGCGATTATTACTATACTTACAACTGGTTAAACACAAAACAATGCCTAAAGCATGACTGATTCATGAGGCCAGCGTGGCTGGCGGTGCTGGACCTACCGTTTCGGCCATTTTGTTTCAAGGTATTTGCTGACAGCTGAATGGCGCTCCCATGGCCCATGTTCTGGGGAAACTTCAGGTCTTCCAGATTACCATCGGTGCTTAGTCTCGCAACTTCCAGTTCTGTTTGCAAGAGAGACTGACACTGAGAAAAATCTCTACCAAAATAATCTTTGACACGATACTTCAAAGCTACAAAATGGTGTTCCAGACCATCTGAGAGCAGAGGAATCAACTTACAATGTTTCACGCTAAACTCTGTTCAGGATCCTATTTCTTTTTAAATCTTTGCCCTGAAGAAGTTTTAAATTTAATTAAAGAAAAAAAAAAAGGCAAATAAATTCTACTCTCTGTGGAAGACAAAAGACAACCAGTTCTTGTAAACAAGAACCTCAGGATATTAAGGACAATGGTTAAAATGAAAATCTGAAAATGCTAGTTCTTTGCCACTGGCGATTGGTACTTTCTGTAAATGTTATCAGTGCTTGGGATCTGTATTCATAGAAATAGAAAGAAGAGTTGTTCTCATTTTACATATGCACAGTGGGAGTGCTGGTGCTTTCCATCATGCTTGTTTTTTAATTAAAATCAACAATCAGCCAAATAAAGACACAAATTTGTATGAAATGAAACACAATTGCGTTACGATGAACAATCTCCCTGTGAAACAGTGCTTTCATTGCTCTAGCGCAGATTTTGCCCTCAAAGCCAGGAGTAATAAAGGCAGGTTAGATGCTCTTTTTCCATGAGATTTCAAGGGTAGAGAGCTGCTCTATTCCTTTAGGCTCTTTTGGAAAGACTTATAAGTCCTTCAGAAAAAGGGCCAAGACATATCTAACAAATTGCTCTCCAGTTAATCTAGGGGCTAAGATGGAAGCCAGGTTTCCCAGCCTTTACTGTCCTGGCTGGTCTCGGTATTTATGGGATCTATCCCTTACGGATGTTGTCAGTGTTTTCCCGGACGATGTCTGTCTTCAGCAGGTTATCAGCCAGCACAAAGGCACTGTCCTCCACGGTGTCGAGTAACTTGGTGGCTGCGCGCTGCTGTTCACTTGCATTCAGGTCCCTCCACGCGTTCAGAGCCTGTGGCTGCAGGAGGTTGTTCACTGTCTCCACCATGGCCTGCAAGGGAGAGGGATGGACTGAGAAAGGGCTCTAGTGAACCTAAAGCACCATCGAGACCTCTGACATACGCTCAGTCCCATCCTCCACACACATCAGTTTATAGGGAGAGGACAGCATCTCATTTCCCCACCCATTGGGGCAGCCTGCAATGGAGTAAGGTATCATTTATCCCATGCAGGCTGGGAATAGCAGTTTTCTGCTTCTGTGATCAGCAGCTCTGGGCTTGCAGTAAGAAGGAATTAGAGGTTGGGGGAGGGGGGCAGACATGCAGAGGGTAGATGAGGAAATCATTAAGAAAACATGCAGGAAAACAGATTTCAAAACCCATCTGTGAAGCAGGTTGCTGCTACCTGCAGCACCAGAATACAAGAGTAGGACTGGGGCACCCAAGGAAGGTATTTCATATCTGCAAAGGCTATGTTCCTTAGAGTGTTTCCCACCACATAACCTCTGGCAGGCAGTCATGAAGACACAGAGATAGCTGAGTTATGCCACTTCATCCAGAAAAGCAGCAGGTGTCCATAGAGATTTAGTTAAGACACTACATTTTAAATCACTCCATTCAGGAACGAGGCAGCCCCTTGGTAACAGCTTCAGTCCCTCCTGCGGCGTACCTTCTGCCCCAGGCTGCCACGCACAACTAGCTCTCCCATGGAGAACTTCCCATAGGTTAATCTGGATGCGCATCCAGGATCATGTGAAACTGCGCTGGCCTCATGATTGTAAAATTACAGCAGTAGAGCCTACTCAACCTGAAGGTTTTGGTCAGCCTAAAACTGCGCTTAGTTACTAACCAGACCTGACTCGACTACCTCTCAGCTGAAGTTTTTTAATGAGACCAGCTGTACCAATTGGTATAACTCACTGTGCAAAGGAAAAGGAAAAAAAAAGTGTCTAGCTGCCAGGCAGGCCTTGCCCCACAAAGAAACACCTCCACTAACGCTGACTGCAGAAAGCAACCTTCCCTTTGAGATGAAGTTGCGGTTCTTAATAACTTTCTGTACACTGAATATATAGGCATCAAACCCACACCTCTGTTCTGCAAGGCAATAACAGTCCCATGGGATTTCAACTGGGATTGCAAACCTAAAGGATGGCCCATGGGATCACTTTCATGGAAATACTTCAGTATTTACTCCTGACAGTGTTTATAAACCCAACTGTACAACATGATGTGTGAAAAGAAGATACGGCATGGCCCATTCTCCAGCAGAGCCCTCAGGAGGAGTGTTACAACAGCAACACATGGCACAAAGAGTGCAAGGCATCCTGAGTCACTCATCAGTTGTGGTCAGATACAAATGTGCAATGGAAGAATATAAGCACATCAAACTAAAATTTTATTTTATTGCTATATGCAGGTGACCATCAAAAAAATTCCAATTACAGCAAGGTTCACGAAGAAGCAAAGACAGCTAGACCTGCCACTCCTGGTGCTTTTAATCCCAGCAAAGACATTTCACTGAGATATTGCCATGTGCATCTTCATCCTAAATGTCCTTGAGGTTGGAAAGTTTCTCATGCCACCATAGTTCCTACTGGAAGACTGAGCCAGAATTGGGCTCCTCTGACAGCATAAAGCTCCTACTCTCCAACCTACATTTATTCATGATCAATTAACTCATTTGTTCTTGTGCCAAATGTCTCCTGTACCTTAAACAGATCTCACCCTCCCTGGCAGCTACTACCCAGGTCCCCTAAATAATAGACAACATTTTTCCTGAGCCTCACAGCTTGGTTTCCAAAACTATGGAGTAACCCACCTTTCAGCCACTGAAGCACCCAAAATGGCTGAAAACCTCATGCTCTAGTGCTACTATAAAAATCATTTTGCTGTCAAGCCTTTACAATCCAGGACTGGAATCCCCTTCTTATTTGCTGTTAAGTGGAACTTATTAACCATAAATCAATTTCTTAAACTGATTATTAAACTGATTTTCCTAAATAGTCTAAAAATCATCTTAACACATTTAATATGTGCACACAAAAAGCTGGTTGACTTTAATAGTCAAAAAGAAATACTAAAAATCCATAGCATTTAAGTGTGGGTGTTTTCGGTGTTTTAAAATCTGGAAGCCCTATCTCTGTAGCTCTTAATAAAATTCTGTAGTTTACTTTGGCAGCTTATCTCTTTACAGGCAAAAAGGAGGTAATATTCTTTTCCAGTGACCAAAAAGCTGTGCAGGTTCTACACAACATGGTGTTTTCTTGCAAAGATCTTTTATGCATGGAAAACAGACAATGAGGATTATTCTGCCCTTTCAATGTTATCATGCAAACTACAATTTACCTTACTTCTATTTAGCTCAGCTACTAATGGTGTCTTTAAATGTCTGCTAAAACAACATCTTGGATACTTTTATCAATATCTGAATGCTGGAAAGAATCTTTGCAACAGATCCAGCTCCTGGCTCCGGCTAGAAAGGTAATGCCTATTTGTCAAAACATGAAACAGATGCTGAAATATTTGTGTTATGGTGAAACATCTGCTGCAAAGATTTTTCCCCAGAAAAATTAATCTTATGCTTTTTTTTTTTTTTTTAAATATGTGTGCATGTGTACATGCAAAGCTTGAGAGAACACCAACTAGGTCTAATGTGCTACTTCCTGCACAATGGGTACTCTCCACCCAATGGACACGATGCTGGTGAGCATACATCCTCTTGAAGTGACTAACCTGAAACCAGCCACTTCACATCACTTTGGATCTGGGATCTGACGCAAAAGCTCCAGAAAGGTTTCCAAGGACTTTGGGTCAGGTCCTTAGCATGTATCTGAACAAAGCTGGTAGACTGTCTTCATTGGCATAACATCCGAGATGAATTTAGTCCATAGCTTTTCCCAGAGGGTCACTCCCCTCACCTGTTTCAGTGCATTAATCAAGTGTTCCCTGCATTATATTCCTGAGTGCAGCACTTCATTATGGCTGAGTGCTGCAGGCTGAAGCCAAGGAGATGAGGTGCTAATGAAATGTTTGCATTTTGGACAGGAGCTGAGGTAGGTGTTTAAATGAAACAAAACAGCTGTTAAAGCAACAGTGTCTCTTGAGACAGAGATGCCAACTGGGGAAAGTCAGGCAGGGGAGCAGGAACTGTGGGAAGGCAGGCACATGGGACAAGGATCAGCCTGTGTCTTTGCATTTAAGCTGAACCGTCATGGTTTAGGTGGGTTTCACACCTGCTCCAATGACTTTGTGGTCTAATGAAGCTCCAGCATAGAAGCAGCAGCAGTGCTAAGCTCCCAGGAAAGTCTCTCAGTGACCAGCAGAAGGAGGGTTTGCCCTGACAGAGGACCTTTGAAATGAAGAAGGCGTGAGATAGGTGTGCTTGGGAGCTGATGGTGTGATAGGTTTTACTTAAGGTCCCTGGTGATCCTGATAAAGGTGGGGACTTTCAAAGGGAGCTAGGAAAGACTTAGTTTCATCCCACCTCAATTCAAGAATTTAACATGCAGCCAAGTAGGGAGCCCAAACACTCTCTAGTTTCTCAATCCAATGAAAGTAGAAGGAACTACAGCAAATATTCCCATTTGGGTGCCCAAAGTCACATGAGATTAATCCTATCCCTGAAGAACTGAACAACTATTAAAGGATGTTGCATATCTACCTCGCTGACATGACTGACATTGATGTGTCTTGTTGTGATTTTCTTCTCTTCACCTGCCTGATCCCTCTTCCAAATGCAGCTCAACTGGGTGAACAATTTCCAAAGCACCCTTGTGAACCTCATGCAAAATAAAAATGTGGGGCTTTGAGCCCAAACATACTTCAATATCATGCACAGCATGGCACCAAACCAATCCCATGGTTGCTGGGGCTTAATGAATAGACAGCACAAGCACACATACGCCCAGGGAGCAGGACAAAAGTAAGTCCAATGGCATCAAGGGAAAGCTTTCACGTGGCATAGCTTCCTTGTTTGTAGCCTAAGATCAATTGAGGGAAGAAGGGCGTGGTAGAAGGGAGCCAAGAAGGAAGACTTTTCATCTCCCTTTCTATCCCAAGATATGTAGGTGTAGCTGTATGCTGCCTGTGATGTTAAGGTACCTATACGTGCAAAGCCAAATCCCCTAAATACAAGTCTGTAAAGAGCAACCATCCTGGTTCAGAGAGTATTTAGACTCAGAGAGTATTAGACTCAGTGGACCATTTTGTGTCTCCAGCAGTGGCTACAGATGGACATTGAGAGAAGAGCAAGAACATGCCAAGCACTGAAGACAAATCCCATGACGGTGATCGCTTTCATTATGTGGTTATATAGCACCACAGAGTGTACATTCAATGTAAATAAATGTTAAATTTATAAATTGCAGAGGAAGATCTTTTTCCCAAATAAGGGCACATGCTCATGATTTCGTGATTTTGTCCTGAGGTTACAAAACAGAAACAAAATGTAAACCTTCCTTCTCAGACACTTACGAATTGGTATTAAAAGATGTATTGGCAAACAGCAACTAATTAGGAGTCTTACAGTAATTATACATTACTAAAAGGCCAATTGTACAAATCCCATTGATTTCCTGTGTGACAACTGCTTCATTCCATAAAACTGAATTTTGCTTGTTCATTTACTTTTATCTTCTCCCCTTCTAGAAATGTCTGGTGAGAATACCTGGCTATGTGACACACAGTTTAAACCTAGGAGGGCAGTATATATCCAGTGATACCACATTCACTTATTTATCTCTGACTGTACCACCATCCAAGGCACTGCTCTTTGACAAAAACAGATTCTGTAATGTAAAATCTGTCTTTAACTGGGAGTCAACACTGGAAATCACTAACAGATGTTAGATGTACTCATCTCATTGCCAAATTTGGGACCAGACTGCTATTGGGGACCATTGTGCTATGGTGCTTAAGCACAGCAACCCTAACTTTAGAAAACTAGCAACTCTCCTAGAGTTAGGACCTGTCTAAACCTTTATTGTTCATTTTGGCCTCTTGCTGAGCAGCTGATGGAAGAACAGAAACCCCAACAAACTTGCGACTGCAGAAA